CCGGTTCCTCCGGGGTCCCGCAGGGCCGCGTTGATGATGTTGTGACTCTGCTCCCAAGTGCAGTTTTGCAGAGGACCGGGGCAACGTTTCTGCTGCAAAGGGGTTTGCTCCGGCGTGGGTAACACCCCAGAGTCCAGGTCGTGATGGGCGGTGGTGACTTTCCCCAACTCCTTGGGCCAACCGTTGGGCATCAGAGGGGCCAGCAGGGCCCCGGGCTGGCGGCCCCGCGCCCGCCGCTCGCCCAGCCTGCTCACGCTCACCACCCCCTCGCCGTGGCCCAGGATGGTGTCCTTGTCCTTGCGCCGCGCCAGCTCCTTGCGGTCCCGGTGCCCGATGAACCAGCAGACGCTGAAGCCGGAGATGACGGCGCCGATGACGAAGGCGGCGACGGAGGAGATCACCAAGAGGTTCACTGAGACCAACCCGTCTGGCTCGTCCACGAAGCTCTCGGTCACCAGACCTGGTGGGGACACACACACACACGTGTGTGAGCTGAGGGCTGGGGCAGCTGGAGCCAGGCTGGGAGAGTTGGGGTGTTCAGCCTGGAGAAGAGAAGGCTCCAGGGAGACCTTAGAGCAGCTTCCAGTGCCTGAAGGGGCTCCAGGAAAGCTGGGGAGGGGCTTGGGACAAGGGCAGGGAGGGAGAGGACAAGGGGGGATGGATGAAAAGTGGCAGAGGGAGATTGAGGTGAGACATGAGGAGGGAATTGTGGAGTGTGAGGGTGGTGAGAGCCTGGCCCAGGTTGCCCAGGGAAGCTGTGGCTGCCCCATCCCTGGCAGTGTTGAAGGGCAGGTTGGAAGGGGCTTGGAGCAACCTGGGCTGGTGGGAGGTGTCCCTGCCCATGCAGGGGGTTGGGACTGGATGATCTTTAAGGTCCTTCCAACCCAAACCATTCCATAATTCTATGTCAGGGACCTGGCAGTGCCACCATCGTGTCTCTGAGCCCTGTCCCTGCCCCACACTCACCCTCACACTCGCCCAGGTGGGACGTGCTGCCGCCGCTGATGTCCTGCTCAAAGGCCACCCTGGGAGGGGGTACAAATCGAGGGGGGGTCAGGGATCATTCATACCTGGCAGAGGGCTCCCTGCTTGCTGCAGAGATGAGTTTGCTGGGTCACAGGAGCTGGGCAGCCAATGCTCAGCTAATGCTGGGAGCCCCTGAGACACCCCACTGTCCCCCTCCAGTGTCCCCCAGTGTCCCCTCCCCAGCTCTGGCAGCGTTACCTGGGACTGGGCTCCAGGAAGACGCAGGAGCCCTCAGGTGTCCAGCCACAGTAGGGATCCCGGCTCCCGAGGCAATTCCTGGCAGGATCAGAGATATCAGGACCATCCCCACCATGGGGTGGGGGGACACACAACACCCTGACCCCCCAGGAAGGACTCTGTCCCCCCCACACACACACCCCATCTCAAGTCTCCCCTGGCCGTGCTCCCAGCCGTGCTGAGCCCTTCCCAGCTGGATCCTGGCACAGGGCAGATTCCCGGGATGGGAAGGGAACCACTCCCTGCTCCTCACAGCTCCCCTCCCCGCAAAAAAAAAAGCCCTGCCCACCCCCCAGGGGTTGCTGAGCCTGGCAACACTCACTTCATGCAGGCCGAGTGCTGCTGGCAGCGAGCCACAGGCACCCCGGGGGGAAGGGCAAGAGCAGGGACCCTGCTGCCTTGTCCAGCTCCAGCCCCAGGAGCCGCCGCTCGTCCTCCGTGTCCCGGCCACACCTGGGGACAGGGCAGAGCTCAGCGTGGTCCCATTGGTCCAGCATGGAGCCAGCCCCAGCACAGGCTGGGCCAGAGGAGGGCATCTCACCTCCCAGCACCACCCCTTGCATCCCTCTGACCCATCCCTTCCATCCATCCATCCATCCCTCCATCCCTTCCATCCATCCACCCATCCCTTCTATCCATCCATCCATCCATCCCTCCATCCATCCATCCATCCACCCACCCATCCATCCATTCATCCATCCATCCATCCACCCATCCCTTCCATCCATCCATCCATTCCTCCACCCACCCATCCCTTCCATCCATCCACCCATCCCTTCCATGCATCCATTCCTCCACCCATCCATCCATCCATCCATCCATCCATCCATCCATCCATCCATCCATCCATCCATCCATCCATCCATCCATCCATCCATCC